TGAACAAGACAGACAATCTCTACCATGATGAAGTTTACATTCTAGCTGACAACCTAGGTGTGAAACTTGTTCTGTGACAGCATAGATTTAAAAGAACTACTCCTTTGGGGAAGCTGAGAAAGACTTCACAAGAGAGATAATCAAGTTGATCTGGGCTTTGAAGGATGCAAAGAAGTTTGCCAGTGAAAACATATTGCAGGGTAGTGATGAGAAGAGGAGAAGAGTTTTAGAGTAACAGAAAATTTGGTGTGGCTGAAGTGCAGGGTATTAGGAAAGTGAAAGACAGCAGTAAGAATGGGAAATGAGTACAGAGACAGATCCCAATTTTAGCAAAGGTTGTATCAGCGATCACGTGACGGATTGGCTCAGTGGAGTCAAATGTACTACAGTTGTAGAATTGGAGTGTTCAGAGTCTTCTTAAGAATGTGTCATGGTAAGTACAGTACAGCAGCAGCTCCTGAAGCATATTTCCTGAACAGAAGCTCCTTGAGCTCACATCTCATGCTGTGATTACCATCCATTCACCATGGCTCTCCAGCCCAGACTGGTTTCCAGATCTTTATATTCAATAGTCCAATTTGACAGCTAACTCAACTTGTTTATTTCAAAAGTATATAAAAGTCAGCATGACAAACTGAACTCATAACCTTCCTGCCATACCTGGTCACCCTGTGGAACTCTCTTTCCAGTGTATGGCACTATCATCTATCCAAGCGCACAAGTCAGAAATCATCAACCTCGACACCTGCCCAATTCACATCTCAAATGTGACCCATCACCAAATCCCACTGACATTTCTTACCAAATCTCTCTCAAATTCATCCACTTCTCATTTCCACCTCTACCACCCTAGTCAAAGCTTTCTCTTACTTAGACAACTACAACAGTTGTCTTCTATATAACATGCTTGCCCTCTCCAATGCACACTCCAATCTGTGTGTGTGTGTGTGTTTGTGTGTATGTTGGTTGCTAAGTCATTTCCAACTCTTTGCAACTCCATGGACTGTAGCCCACCAGGCTCTTCTGTCCATGGAATTTTCCAGGCAAGAATACTGGAGTGGGTTGCCATTCCCTTCTCCAGGGGATCTTCCCAACCCAGGGATCAAACCTGGGTCTCATGCCTTGCAGGCAGATTCTTTACCATCTGAGCCACCAGGGACGACCCCAATCTATAGCCAGAGTGGTCTTTTTAAATGAAAATCTGTTCATGTCATTCCCCTGAATAAGGATGGTCAGGGATTTTTCACTCTTTATAATGACTCCTCATCATGGTCCGCTTGAATGAGCTTCCTCCCTATCCAAGTCTCCAGACTTATGTTATGTCATTTTCTCTGTGGTCACATGATCATCTTCTGTCCCATACAGAGGGCTTCTTTCAGTTCCTTGAATATACTATATCCAGGGCTTTTACACATGCCGTTTTCTCCACTCCTCTTCTAGTATAGCCCCATTTATCATTTAGATAACATTAAAATGTCATATTTCAAAACAGCATTCTCTTATTCCCACAGACCAGCTCAGGTTATTCCTTGCTAAATTTCCTAATAATCCCCACTCTTCATAGCATTTACAATTGTACCCACTTTTTGTATAATTTGACATTTATATTCCACTGGAATATAAACCTTCTTAGGACAGATACTGTGTTTGCTTTTTCACCACTGTATCCTCTAGGTTTCACAACAACATCTTATGCCTTGTAGGTGCTCCGTAAGTAAGAGAGGGAGAAGTTGTATTCTTGATTACCATTTTGGAAAGTCACAATGCCTATTTACAGATTAAAAAAATCAACTATTTAACTTTGTTTAACCCATCATTTTCCAAACTTGGCTTATCTATGAATCTATTACATAAGTCATTTATTTTGGGGGGGGGAGGGGACAACTGTGTTCCAAGAAACACTGTTTGGCAGATACACTGAATTGCTTGAGCTGCTCTTCCTCTATCCTTATGCTAAACAGAGTGTCTCTCTTAAGTCATGCCTTTATTATTGCATCCCTCCCTAGCCACCTGAGAGTTGTGAGTTTGTGAGGTGGTGCAGCCCAAGGGGCCTGAGGACACCATTCTGGGAAGTCACTGCAGATCTTCTGTGAGCAGAAAAGAGGAAGCTCGTCTGCAGAGATGAAGCAGCCATGGGGAAGGAAGAATTTGGCAGGGCTCCCATACTCAAATGGGATCATGTAGTTCAACAGGAGTGAGGAGAATTCTTCTTCCCTGTTTGAAGAAATTCAAATTCAGAACTTTCTTAACAACTGGTTCTCGAAGTGTGATCCCCCACCACCATGTGGAAATTTGTTAGAAATGCAACTTCTCAAGATCCACCCCAAGATGTATTATATAAACCCCAGAGTCAGGTTCACCAATGTTTTAACAAGCCCTCAGGTAATTCTGATGCACATGCACATTTTAGATTGCTGGCCAAATTATAAATAAGAGAAACAAATCTTACTCACAATTTGACAACTGATGACCTCTGCTGTGAGCAAGAGAAACAGAAAGTAGCAGTCTTGACTTTTAATGACTTTCCAGACCCTAATTCCATTCTTTCACAATTCCTAGTTACCCAAGTCCTGGAGCTATTCTTGCATAGCTTCAATAAACTTTTTCTTTTGTTTAAGCTCGTTTAATGAGGGTTTGTTGCTTTAATTCAAACAAAGATTTAAGCTACACCAATAAAATGAAAACAACAAAACAACAGTGACAACAAAGAAACCAGGATGCAAGGCTTGGTTCTGCTAAAAAAATGAGTTGTGAGGCCTTAGACAAAGCCCTTTTCTCTAGGTCATGATGGCATCACCTATGAATGATGTGATTGGCCTGGATGACACCTGAGAGGTCTTCAAAACCCTCTAATATGCTCGGCTAGACACTGGCTCCTCTGGATAATCTCTTAACTCTACAGATCCCCTAAGAAAGGCCTCGAAGTTTCTTTACTTCTTCCCATTAGTTCTACCTGTCACTCTAGGTAGTAAGAGTAACAAATACAGAAAATAAAAAACACTCCAACTCTCTGTCTCTCTCTTTTCTGGTCTTTCAAAAGCATCAATCATTAATTAGAGGTATGCTTTAAATAAGGCTTATTTGATGCTTCAGGTGTTTTTCAATTTAAATTTTAAAATTTTAGTACATTATAATTAGGCCAACTTTAGTTAAGGTTGCTATCTGTCATGAAATGTACATAGAAAAAACATGTACACACAACCAACTTGCAGAAAAATTCTCATTTGGGAGCAACTATTCTCTTCACAAAAATGCAGCCCATGCAAACAATCAATATTAAGTGAAGTGGAAATGTATTTTTTAAAGATTTTAAGTAAAAAAAGGTTTCAATGAAAATATCCTAAAATTAATATATCCTAAAATAAACAATAAGAACACCCTCCATTAAGCCCATAAATGCTGCATTATAAAACTTATTAGTTGACAAAGAATAAAAAGTAGTACTTTTTTTGACCCTTAAATTCTCACCCCAGTAGACTTCTCTGATGCTGAAATGAAAATAGTGACCAAATGCTTTGATGGACAACTCATTACAATGAGAACTGAAGGCTTCTGAAACCAGACAAAGATTTTTCTGTATCTCCCAGATGCCAGGGGAAGTAAGAGAAATATTTTGGTTTACCATCCAAGAACGAACATTATATCTGCATTTTATTTTTAAAAAAATAAGCGCTTTAGAAATAATCAAGCTCAAGATACAGTTTTCAAAAAGCAGAAAATGTTACCAAGGCAGAGTGAAGAAAAAAAATTTGAGAGAAAATAAAAAGAAACAAGGGGAAAGAAATCTTTCAACAGAGTAGAAACTGTTAGTCTCTCTCTGTCCCTGAGGTTTTGATCCAACCCTATTTGTTATCCTAGAAAAGCTCTTCTGAAGAAAGGTCTCAGTGTAAGAACTGCTTAAAAGAAGCCAACCCCTTGGAAATAGGAACGGCTCAGCCATTTATTAATGTCAAATATGCTGCCTGCATGAATTAGTCAGCTTGTCTTTTGGAAGCTATACAGAAAAGTTCTTCTGCACCTGCCTCTTAGTGTCCTGACACTTCTGGCTTTAATGACAACATAACAACCACCAGAAAATGAAATTTAAAAAACAAAGCACTGAACACTACTATGTTTTACCTTCTGAATAGTTGATTAGTCAATTTTTAAAGGCTTCTTACTGAAGTATCATCAGCGACTGGAGAATATAAAAGCTTGCTTAGATGTAAAAAGAAAAGGAAAACAGAGTCATTTTCCTAAACTGGCAAAATGTAACCAAATTACCACAAAACTTACCTTAGAAACAAAGAAAAATGGGGCAGAAAAGGCCAGATTTCTTACTGGCAGTATCACAGTGGCAAATATCCCAGAATAAGAAAAGCTGCCAAATAGAAGAGAGAAAATTAAAGGACTTTCCTTTAAAAACAGCCAAGCCCAGTGCACACAGCATTCCTAACAGCTGGAGCAAGCTTCAGAAGCAACACACAGGTATAAGGTCCAGCCCTATTCTTTATTTACAGCACAGTTCAAAGTCATTGAATCAAGCACAAAAGAAACGACTCCCATTTCCTGGTTTGGCATTGGATATCCTTCCTACCAGCTGCAATTACATCATTTTTATCCATCTTCTTCTTTTCCTTTGGGAGGGTAGAAAAGGGGCAAGTGACAAATGGGCCAAAGAGACTTCAACTTCAAAACCAAGAGAAATCCTTGCTTTCAGAGAAACAAAAGAAGTGATTCTCCCTCTTGTGAAAGGCAATCAATACTCTGCTCCAGTTATGAAGGCTGTGGATGGTGTGGGAAAGCTGTGGTGAAGAGATTCTTCCTGGAGGTGGCACAAGGATAGTGAGGACTCGGGTCGTGGGATGGTGCTATTCCCACCATCACGTTTGCTCTGTCTCAGTCTTCAACACACCAGATTTAATGAATAAGGGAAAGTAATTATGCACAGAAAGCCAAAGTGAATGGAAATGTAGGAGGAATGAACTTAAAAGAAGAAACTGAAAATGATCAAAAGTTACTCAGTTCATTTTTCTCAGACGGACATAGAAATCACTGATCCACTGCTTCATGTATTTAACTTCCAAGGCGCGAGTTAACTGCACACTGACAGGATCCAAGGCATTGCTGGCTCGGAGATCTAGATGATGGGCTCCATTTGGGATGACGATCGCAAGTAAGGTGTCTGTAATATCCTTGGTTACTCCACCTCCTGACCAGGGGTCTAGTTCGCCATTGCTAAGTGAGGGAAAGAAAAAAGTCAGATTGCTAGTTTTTTATATCTATATAAAAGATAAGATAGGAGAAACCTATTATATGCATAACACCTAAAATTATAAGCTTATAAACTAGGGAATATGATCTGAGGATTTAATCTGTCATATAGAAATGTGCTTCATCCTGGAGTTTGACAATACTTCTGTGACCAGGTACAAGAAATAGGACCAGAGAACACTGAAGGTGGTGCCCCATGAATCAATCTAAATTATACTGGAACTTCAAATTTAGAAGACTCAATTCCAATCCTGGCTTCATTACTCAAAAGTTGTCTGACCTTACATAAGCTAGCTGCCTCAGTTTCCTCAAATATAAAGCAGAGTTAACAAGGCTTACATCAGGAGGTTGCTTTAAGGGTTAAATCAGATGGTACATGTATATATACTGAATTAATTTTAGGCACGTGGGAGTCCCTCAATTAAAGCCTGTTTCCTTCCTTCCTAGAATCCAAATATTAGTGATAAAGAAAAAAAAAACTATACTTAAAAATGCTGATTATCTCTTCAGTCAATTCAGTCACACAGTTGTGTCTGACTCTTTGCAACCCCATGGACTGCAGCATGCCAGGCTTCCCTGTCCATCACCAACTCCCAGAGTTTGCTCAAACTCTTGTCCATTGAGTCAGTGATGCCATCCAACAATCTCATCCTCTGTCATCCCCTTCTCCTCTACCTTCAATCCTTCCCAGCATCAAGGACTTTTCTAGGCAGTTCTTCGCATCAGGTGGCCAAAGTACTGAAGCTTCAGCTTCAGCATCAGTCCTTCCAATGAATATTCAGGATTCATTTCTTTTAGGATTGACTGGTTGGATCTCTTTGCTGTCCAAGAGACTCTCAAGAGTCTTCTCCAACACCACAGTTCAAAAGCATCATGCTTCAGGGCTCAGCTTTCTTTATAGTCCAACTCTCACATCCATACATGACTACTGGAAAAACCATAGCTTTGACTAGACAGACCTCTGTCGGCAAAGTATTGTCTCTGCTTCTTAATATGCTCTCTAGGTTCATCATAGCTTTTCTTCCAAGGAGAAAGAGTTTTTTAACTTCATGGCTGCAGTCACCATCTGCAGTGATTTTGGAGCCCCCCAAAATTAACTCTGTCACTGTTTTCACTATTTCCCCATCTATTTGCCATGAAGTGATGGGACCAGATGGCATGATCTTAGTTTTTTGAATGCTGAGTTTTAGGCCAGCTTTTTCACTCTCTTCTTTCACTTTCAACAAGAGGCTTTTTAGTTCCTCTTCACTTTCTGCCATAAGGTTATTGATTATCTGAAGTTATTATTATTATTATTAAGGTTATCTGAGGTTATTGATATTTCTCCCGACAATCTTGATTCCAGCCTGTGCTTTATCCAGTCTGCACTTCACCTGATGTACTCTGCATATAAGTTAAATAAGCAAGGTGATAATATACAGCCTCGACATACTTCTTTCCCAATTCGGAACCAGTCTGTTGTTCTAGGTCTGGTTCTAACTGTTACTTCTTGAACTGCATACAGATTTCTCAGGAGGCAGGTAAGGCAAAATATAATAAGACAAGTGCCAGTCCTGAATATTCATTGGAAGAACTGATGCTGAAGCTAAAGCTCCAATACTTTGGCCACCTGATGCAAAGAACTGACTTACTGGAAAAGACCCTGATGCTGGGAAAGATTGAAGGCGGGAGGAGAAAGGGGCAACAGAGGATGAGATGGTTGGATGGTATCACCAACTCAATGGACATTAGTTTGAGTAAACTCAGGGAGTTGGTAATGAACAGGGAGACCTAGTAGGCTGCAGTCCATGGGGTCACAATGAGTTGGACACGACTGAGCAACTGAAGTAAACTGAACTGATAGAGCTTCTCTATCTCTGGCTGCAAAGAATATAATCAATCTGATTTCAGTATTGACATCTGGTGATGCTCATGTGTACAGTTGTCTCTCGTGTTGTTGGAAGAGGGTGTTTGCTATGACCAGTGTGTTCTCTTGGCAAAACTCTGCGTGGCCTTTACCCTGCTTCATTTTGTACTCCAAGGTCAAACTTGCTTGTTACTCCATGTATCTCTTGATTTCCTACTTTTGTATTCCAATCCCCTATGAAGAAAAGGACATCTTTTTTGGTGTTAGTTCTAGGAGGTCTTGTAGGTCTTCATGGAACTATTCAGCTTCAGCTTCTTCTGCATCAGTAGTTGGGGCATAGATTTGGATTACTGTGATGCTGAGTGGTTTGCCTTGGAAACGAACCAAGGTTATTTGTCATTTTCGAGATTGCACCCAAGTACTGAATTTCAGACTTCTTGGTTGACTATGAGGGCTACTCCATTTCTTCTAAGGGATTTTTGCCCACAGTAGTAGATATATAGTAGATATCTAGTAGTAGAGGTCTTCCTTAGTCACCTCATCAAAAATTCAAACTCCCTCCCAACCCCCACTAACATTTCATAACCTTCTTCCCTGGTTTATTTTTCCCCCCTTAGCACCTATCTCCTTCTAACATGCTTATAAGTGCTATCTTGTTTTTACCCATCTCTCAAACTAAAACTTCCCAAGGGCAGGGTTTTTTGTCTGTTTTATTACTGTATCGTCAGTGCCTGGCATACACTAGGAGCTATACAAATATTTATTGAATGAATAAAAAAAGAATAATCTAGTCATTTGTAGCCTTATATCAGATGCCCTACACAGAAGAGGTCTATACATACATGCTTGTGAGTTCAGGAACATGTAAATCACTCCAGTACTTTTTACATGGAAAAGCAGAGTTCACATAAGTGATTAATGTAAATATACAGACAGTGACATTCAGCTAGGTATAATACTGGCAAGAAACAGTGAACTAAGTCAGCAGGTCTAAGTTTTATACCCCCAGTAAGCCACATGACTTTGGGTAAGTCAGCTGACAGCTCTGAATCTAATTCTCATGTGTATTACCAAAAAAAACTTTTAAAGATAATGCCCTTCAATCACAGAGACACTGTGAGATTCAACTTGAATAATACATTTGGAAATAAGGCATAAACTATAAAATACCACATGAATGTGCAGTATTATTATAATTATTATCATATTCTATAAGCATGAGAAGTGTTAATACTTCTGAGAGGTAAGTGAAGCATGAAAAGCGATGCCACAGCATTTCTCACAGAAATTTGGTCAGAAAAATGCATGCAATCAATTTTCCAGGTAAATGTTCAAGTTAAAAAGGAAATAAGCATTTAGGTACATTAAATATACGTGTGCTTGAAATACAAGTCTAAAATCCCTGTTCTAGCCTGACCACACTTTTAACCACATTTTTGGTTTTTTAAGAAATTAATTCAATTGTAACAACATCATTCTTGGGGGGAGAAATCACTCTGAAAAGTTACCTTTTTTGGTTTTATTAAAAACAAGAGGAAAAACTCACATGAAAAATAGGATGTTAGTTTTCAACTATGAGATAAATTTTTAAAGTAAACTACACAAGGGGTTGGATTCTCTTAAGTGAACAAGTGGCCTTTATCATTATTCCAATTTGACAGGACCAACCAAGATAGGAAACTCTCCATTATTTGCAAAACAAAAAAGCTATCCCAACAGCTACATAATAAGCAAACTGCATTTGATTTAAAAGGTCATCTGAATCCACCCAGTGGCTTAGCAACAGTGTTTGGAGTTGCTGAGAGACCTAAAATGCACATGGACTTGAATTTCTTGGTCCTAGACATGAGAAAGCTAAATCAGTCACTGCGAAATTTACAGGAGAAAAAAATACTGGCTTTCATGAGAGAACCTAGATGCCTGCATAAAATTCCCAACAGTAAGCCTCACTTAATTGCTGGCAACAATTAATTTGCCTGAAAAATTATGTTAAATTAACCAGCTTCTCAGGGACTCCTTTTTGAATTTATATTTAAATAACTGAAAATGATTATTGGTAAGATAATTTCTCAACAACTGGGTTTTGGGGAAAAAAATAAATCCTTCCAACAAAAATATTGTGGAATAAGAAAATTGCTGAAATGGAACTATTAATAGCTACTATTAAATTCTTATTTGCTCAACATGTTTACTGACTGCCTACTATGTATCAGGTACTGACTGGGTAGTTAACTCAACTGTGAACATACAAAATCTCTGCCCTCATAGTGCTCATTTCTATGATTATCTACTCCTTGAAGTAACTCTGGCAGGCAATTATTATTTCTAACTAATATAAATTGGCAATTTGCCTGAAGGCACATGGTTAACAGAAGCAGAATGGCACCTAGGTCTCTCCAACTTCAAAGCCCAAGCTCTTAACTTGCAGATCTCTAATTCAACAATTAAAAACAGACTGAATTTTCTAACCAAAAAAGTATTGGATTTGTGTGAGATGCCTTAAGTATGAACATAAAATATGCTTTCCACATGGTTCCTTGGACATTTTCTTATCATCAACCATAAATATTTTGTAACTGATAGCCACTCAGTAGACAGAACAGAATCACCTAATGTTGCTTTTTTATTTTCAGAATGTGCTTTCTTTAGAAAAGCAATAGAATTTTGAATTTTTAAATAAGGTATGTTTTACATTGAATTCTTCACACCTAGCAGTACATGGGAAAAAAATTTCTTTTTAAAAGTATATTTGCCACTGCAGGAAGATAAACCAGCATTTTTATATAGTTCTGCCTTTATACTTTCACATGCCTCTGAAATTTTCCTGATCTTTATGTCATTTCTCATCCTTATCAACACACACATTAACTGGGCATCTACTATGTGCCAGTCACTGTGGCAGGTGCTAAAGGCACAGAGATGATTAAGAAAAATTCTCTGTCACTGAGAAGTTCATAATCTCATTTGAACAGAGAAATGAGATTTCTCTGTTCTCTGAGAAATGAGTCAGGGGCAGAGAGAAACACAAACAGGTAATTTCCACACAGAGTGCTAAATGATAATCACAGGCTTTAGAAGAGCTAAGTGTGTAGGGGAAATGTAACCTCCTTGGAGATGTCAGGGGAGGTTTCCTGGAGGATGCCTGAGTCTTAAGAAAAGGAAAAAAGTGGAAGGAAAAGGACATTCAGGAACGAGTAGTTCCCTCCTGGCTCAAAACTAAAGTACAGGTCTGTGAGTATACTTACACTTACTCATTCAATGGAAATTTTTTGAGCATATAATTTGCCAGGTCTGGGCTAAATATTTCACTGGGTTAACTCTTTCAAGCATCACAGCAACTCTATAGGGTGATTGGCATTATTATTCTCATTTTACAGAAGAGAGAACTGGGGATCAAAGAGCTTAAATAATTTAAGACAGTTCACTCTAACTATGCATAGCTCTGTTAGGAAGACCTTTCTTACACTAGCCAAAAGTTTTTTTTTTAATGTTGAGCCATATTTTCTACCTACTGTTTCAGTTCTACTTCCTACTTTTTTCAACAAAATCTATCCTTTCCCCAATGATGATGATGACAATAACTTATTTTGATACCCAGAGGAAAATAAGTATAAAAGGATAAATGGACAACTAAAATACTCATGTAATGGTTGAATCCAACAAAAAAGCACAAAGTATTTGACCAAAACTCAAATATCAAAACCTTCACAGATAAGATTCAAAGACTCCACTTTACAATTCAACTTGAACTTCAGCTTTATGAGGTCAAAGCAAATAAGGATGAGCTTATAGCCTCTGCATGCCAGAGAAATCCATATAAGTACTACCTGGAGGTAAGTTTCTAAAAACAAGAAAATGACAAAGTATTTCCTTCTCTGAGGGAACAAAGATGAGCTTTGATACCCAAGGCTTACATTTAAGCCTTTTCAGTCCTCTCAGTCCTTTCATGTTTTCCTGATTTCGAACATCCTAATTTGGTACAGTTTCCTACCCTAAATATACTTGTTTGCTCAACTGTCACCTCAAAAGGCTGAGCTGAAAAGTATAGTTTTGAAGAATTCTACTGAGGTCAAGGTAAATAATTCTAGGGAATTAAACAAAAAGAATCTTTAAGTTTTGCATTTAGTGTCTCACATTTGTGGGGGGAGGTATCCTACTGAGTGAGAAAGTAGCATGAATCCAACAAGAAAAAGGTTCTTTTGCAAAATGGGCAGTGTTACTGGCTTAAACCCAGAGAGTGATCTTTCAGTTACAACAGCATTGCTCCTTCCTAAAAGCTTTCAGTCATGTTTCCAAAGTCAAATGTGACTCTGTTTAGAAGAATTTGTGAAAGAATAATGTTTACAATTTAAACAACTGGTTAAGAGATATGTATGGATATCTCTCTACTATTTCCACATAAACTTGGGGAATTTTCTTATTAAATGGTTGCTATTTTAATAACTAACAATCTAATGTTCAAGCCAAAACACGGTTTTGAAGTCACAATCAGGCACATTTTGAGTCTACTTGATTATCTCCAATATGAACCAATACCAAATATGACTCTTCTAGAGAAACAGTGTTACAGAATAAACAGTTTTTGTAGTCAGATAGGCCAAGGTTGAAAACTGGCTTTATCACTTGGTAACTAAAACAAAACTGGATGAGTTTTGGCAAGTGACTGCACACACTGACTTTCACTTTCCTCCTGTAGAAACTTCTTGCAGGGTTTTTGTGGGAATTACGTGATATATTTAAAGTGCCTCATATAGTGCCTGGGACAGAACAGAGTGGGCACCTCAAAAGTGTTTACTACGTATATACTAAAGATTTTTTATCATTGATAACAATAGAAACAATCATGAGACAAATTGAGAACAACAGATAATGCTTCCTTTTCTTTTGAGCACACTTTTTAAAATATTTTAACTTTGCTGCTGTTGTTTTTAAGCCTTTAAACATACTGCAATAGAAAAAAAATCATATCACCTCTCAGAATCCTTAATCTTTCAAGGAGTAGAAAAATATGATAGATACCACTGCTATATTCTACACTGTTTTAACTGTGCAACATTTTCCTGGTTTTCTTTTCTCATCCATTCTACAAATGTCTCCATCAGCCAGAATTTTCTTTGAATCAACAAAAATTCACCTGAAAATGATGTTTGTGTGTGAACTGATGTTCTTGCCTCCATACATAGTAGGGATCCAAGAGGGCCTCGGTCTCACACCCCACTGTTTAAAACAGTCATCAGAATATTCCTTCATGTTCCACGAGTGAGGTTCGAACATGTCATCAACGCCATCAGAACAGGTGGGCATGACCATTTCTGTACAGGCCTGAAAAAGCAAACCAGGAAAGATTCTAGTGAGAAAATGAAACACTAAGAGTGAAATAAATTGTTCAAGGTCATACAGCTTGGAAGCAAAAAAGTGAGGGTTTGAACTCAACAGTCTGGCTTCAGAGCCCCTGTTCTTTACTCCATACCACCTCTCTTTATTCCTAAGGCTCAACTGAGAAGTCACAGAAGTTGGGGCTATATATTCCTTCTTCACAAACTATTTCATTTCATATCTATTATCATATTGAATTCTCAAAAAACTCTGGAGGAAAATATTGCTATTATTATTACTGTTCTCATTGTACAGATGAAAAAATGGAGGCTCAGATAGAATCAAGTTAGACTCCCTCTTCTCTTCTTTTCTGTGTCCATAAAATGCTACCTTTATAGGACTTACTAAGATCTATTGTAATATTAGTTTAACTACCTATGTTTTCCACCAAGCTACATTTAATGATTAGATCCTATTTTATTTATAATAAAATAAATTTATATCCAATTTGTATAGTTGGAGCCTGGAATAGTGCCTGACATGCAGTAAGTACTCAGAATATATTTGGTGATGATTAAATACCAAACTGAAATAGTATACATAGGATAGATAAACAACAAGGTCCTACTATATAAAAGAGGAAACTATATTCAATATCCAGCAATTACCCATAATGGAAAAGAATATGCATATATATAACTGAGTCACTTTGCCATTTATTAGAAATTAATACAACACTGTAAATCAACTATACTTCAATAAAATTTTTTAAAAATTGAATTGGTATTTAATGAATGAATGAAGAAACTCATCCACGGTCTTGAAGTGGAAGGTAACAGAACCCAGATTTGGATCCAGGTTAGGTGATAAGATCTTGAGGATTCTGTTATAGTACAACCATAACAGTGAAAAGTAAGCTCCAATTGGGGAAATTATATACACTTACCTGATAGCTCCAACCCAGGACTCCCAGACTGCTGGTTGCTGTCTCTGAGACATTGAGACATTTCGCCTGGCCCGAATAATTGTAATATACATTCAGAGCTTGGAAAATATTCTGCAGCATCAGGGTATCAGGTACATTGTAATATTTGAAATACTGGCACACTACCTGTCATTTTAGAGAGAAAAAAGGGAGAAGAATCAAATATAAATATAAAATCACAGTTTATTAAAACAAAGAAGAAACATGATTCTGATTTGATCATAAACAATCTTTAGCATCTAACTTCACTGCTTGACAATTTCTATTTATTGAGTATAACCACTTTCATAAACGAATAAACCTTTAAAATTAGTCCCCATGGGACTGTCCTGGTGGTAGTGGCTAAGACTACACGCTCCCAATGCAGGGAGCCCAGGTTCAATCCTTGTTCAGGAAACTAAATCCCACAAGCTGCAACTAAAGAGTTTGTATGCTGCAACTAAAGATTCCGCATAACCCACATGTCACAACAAAGACTGAAGATCCATGTGCCACAATTAAAACTCGGCACAGCCAAAAAAAAAAAAATTAGTCCCCAAATTATAGAAATAAACCAAAATTATCTGCATGGTATGCAAAGTGCTTCCCACCTACCACTCTAGCTTCACCTTCTGTAGCTTCTGCTCTAGTCTAGCAAAACCATTTCTACCACACCAGCTTCTTTCCCTCCTCATTGCCATGGCTCACACTGAAACGCCCTGCTCCCACTCTCCCAACGCAGTAGTGCCTGGCAAACACCAACTCATCTTCCTCAACGCAGCTCAAGTTATCACCTCCTCCTGGAGGCCCCTTGCCTATGCCTTCAGGGCAGGAAGAACTAAATCACTCTCTTTGTGCCTGCACTGTATCCCGTGCCTATTTCTATCACAGCCCCTGTAATGCTGATAACATACCCATTTGATTCCAGCATGTCTTCCTCAGCACTTAGCAAGGCATCTGGCAACTAAATGCTTGCTGATTAAATGACTATCTTTTTATGAAAATGAAAAATTTATTAAATTTCTTTTGGAAAAACTCCACCAAGCTCCTATATCTGTAGCATTATAAGAAGCAACTCAGGCAGTGCCCCAGTTCCAAATACTTGACTATAGTCAGTGCTAAAAATCACAAGTAATACCTGGAGTTGGGAGTTAAGACAGGACTAACTAGTCAGGGACATAGGGAACTTTCAAGGATATGAAAATATTTCTTATCTTTAGGGGCCTAAGTACACAACAAGTAGCACATTCATGATTTGTATGTAAATTTTACTTCAAAAAATCATCAACAAATATAGAACTCTAGATAATGTTGTTAAAGCTGAAGTATATAGTCTATATTTCATTTATTTCTGCTCTTTCTTTCCTTCTACTGACTTTGAGCTTCACTTGTTATTTTTCTAATTCCTTGAGGTGTAAATTTAGGTTGTTTATTTGAGACTTTTCTTATCTCTTGAGATAGGCATTTATCACTATGAATTTCCCTCCCAGAAGTGTTTTTACTATATCCCTTAAATTTTGGTATGTTACATTTCCATTTATCTCTATGTATTTTTTAAATTTCTCTTTTAATTTCTTCTTTGACCCATTGAGTGTTCAATAGAATGTTGTTTAATCTCCACATATTTGTGAATTTTTCAGTTTTCTTTGTGTAATTTATTTCTAGTTTCATACCACTGTGGTTGGAAATGATGCTTCATATAATTTCAATCTTCTTTAATTTATTAAGATTTGTTTTGTGGCCAAACATTTGATTTATCTTAGAAAATGTTCTTTGTGCACTTGAGTAGAATGTATATTCTGCTATTTCAGACAGAATGTTCTATAAATATCTATTAAGTTCATCTAGTCTAATGTGTTAAGGCCAATATTTCCTTATTGATTTTATGCCTGGATGAACTATCTATCAATATAAGTGGAATATTAAAGTCCCCTCCTGGTCATGTACTGCTGTCTATTTCCACCTTTAGGTCTGTTAATATCTGCTTTACGTATATAGGTGCTCCTATGTTGAGCACATAAGTATTTACAAATGTTATATCTTCTTGTTGAACTGACTCCTTTATTATTATGCAACACACTTCTTTGTGCATTATTAAAGTCTTTATTTTAAAGTCTATTTTGTTCAATATAAGAATAGCTACTCCAGCTTTATTTTGGTTTCTATTTGCATGGAGTATCTTTTTCCATCCCTTTACTTTCAGTCTGTATGTGTCCTTACATTTAAAATGACACTATTCTGGGCAATAATATTGATGGGTCTTGTTTTTTAATTCAATCATCTACTCTATGTATTTGATTATAGAATTTAGTCCATTTACATTAAAATAATTCTTAATATATATGTGCTTATTGACATTTTGTTCATTGTTTTCTGGCTGTTTATGTAGTTTCTCTAGCTCCTTTTTTTACCTCTTGCTCTCTTTTTCTGTGGCTTGAAAATTTTCTTTAGTGGTATGCTTATATTCCTCTCTTTATCTTTTGTATATTTACTGTAAGTTTTTGTTTTGTGGTTACCATGAGGCTTATACATAACAGTTTATATCTACAACAAAGTTGATAACACTTAAGCTTGATCCCACCGAAAAGCTCAAAATTATTACCCCCCTCATTTTATGATTTTGAAGTCACATTCTACATTTTTTTATCTTGTGAACACCTAACAAATTATTGTAATCATGGTTATTTTTATTACCTTTGTCTTTTTTAGCCTTCATACTAGCTTTGTACATAATTAATCCACTACCTTTACTACACAGTAAGTCCCCTACATATGAACCTTCAGATTGTGAACTCAAAGATGTAAATGTATTATAAACCTATTACAGTACAGTACTATGGAGCTAATTGTGTTTGTTGTATACCTAGGCTAACTTTGTTGGATTTGCAAACAAATTGGACTTACAATTGTGCTCTTAGAATGGAACTTGTTTGAATGTAGGGGACTTCCTGTATCTATTTTTCTTTCCAGTGAGGTTTATTTTTCATATGACTTCTCGTTACTAATTAGCGCCATTTCATTTCAGCTTAAAGAAGTCCCTTTTAACACTTATTCTAAGGCTGGTTTAGTGGTAATGAACGCCTTTAGTTTTTGCTTATCTGGTAAACTCTATCTGTTCTATAGTGTTCTTAGTTTAAAGATTTTTTTCCTTTTAACACTTTCAATATGTTGTGCCATTCCCTTTTGGCCTGAAAACTTTCTGCTAAAAAATCCACTCATAGTCTTATGGGAGTTTCTTTGCATGTAAGAAATTACTTTCTCTTGTTGTTTTTAATATTTTCTCCTTAATAGAACTACCATATGACCCAGCAATCACACTGATGGGCATACACCATAGAAGATCATAATTTAAAAAGATACACAAACCCCAGTGCTCACTGCAGCACTGTTTACAATAGCTAGGTCATGGAAACAACTTGACTGTCCATCAGCAGGGGAATGGATAAAGAAGCTGTGGTACATACAGAATGGAGTATTGCTCAGCTTCAAAAAAGAATGAAACTGTGCCATTTGCAGAGATATGGATAGACCAAGAGACTGTCATACAGAGTGAAGTAACTTATAAAAAATAAATTTCATATATTAACACATACATGTGGAATCTAGAAAAATTGTATAGATGATCTTACTTGCAAAGCAGAAATAGAGACACAGATGTAGAGAACAAAGGTATGGACACCAAGGGGGAGAAAAGGGGTGTGGTGAGATGAATCGGGAGATTCACTGGGATGGACATGCATCTGCTGCTATGTGTAAAATAGATAACTAATGAGAACCTACTGTATAGCACGGGGAACTCTACTCGGGGCTCTGTGGTGACATTTCCTTCCCCAGATGGAAGGAAATCCAAAGAAGAAGGGACAGATGTACACCTGTGGCCGACTCCCTTTGCCGTCAGCAGAAACTGACAAAGCAGAGCAAATTGTTTCTATACTCTACTGTCAGCTTTTTATACTCCAGTTAAAAATAACAATATCATCTGTGTAAAAATATGTATAGATTTCCTTCTTGTCTTTAACCTCTGACTTTGTTTTTGGCTGCACTAGGCCTTTGCTGCTGTGGCTTTCTCTAGTTGCAGTAATGGGGGACTACCCTTCGTCGCGGTGCACAGGCTTCTCAGTGTGGGGGCTTCTCTTGTTGCAGAGCAGAGGCTCTAGGTACATAGGCTTCAGGAGTTGTGGTGCATGCGTTTAGGTACCCCGTGGCATGTGGAATCTTCCTGGACCAAGAATCAAACCCACGTCCCCTGCATTGGCAGCCAGATTCTTATCCACTGTACCACCAGTGAAGTCAAGACTTTTGACACTTCAACTGTAATTTGTCCTGGTATTAGTCTGTTTGGATACCTCTTATTTGGAACTCTCTGAGATTCCTAGGTCTGGAAGATTAGGGGAGCTTTCAGCTGTTTTGTTTTCAAATAAGATTTCTGCCCCTCTTTCTCTTTTTCTTCTGGGAAGTCTATGAAGTGAATGTTAGACCATTTGATATAAATGTTAGTCTATAAGCCCCTTAGCTATTTTCACTTTTCTTCATTCTGTTTTCCTTCTGCTGCTCTAATTCAGTAAGTTCTACTGCCCTGTCTTTGAGTTGGCTGATCTTGTCTTCTGTTTCATCTAATCTGCTGTTGAACCTCTCCAATGTAATTTTATCAGTTATTATATTCTTGAGCTTTGCAACATCTTATTTGGTACTTGTTTAATATTTTCCATGTCTTTTTTGAAGTTCTGTGTTCATTCATTCTTCTCCTCAGTTCAGTGAGCATCTTCATAATCATTACTTTTAACTCTTTATCAGGTAAATTAATATTTCTCTCATTAAGATTTTTCTGAGTTTTATATTCTTCTTTCTTAGAACATATTCTTTCTGTTTCTTCATTCTGTTTGATTCTCTGTTTCAATTTCTATATAGTAGATAAAACAACCACCTCTCCCAGTCTTGAAGGAGTGGCCTCCTATAGAAGACAAACCTTGTTGTTCAACTCTGCCCTTAACTCTTGGTTGTCTTTCAAACCTCTGTGCTTATCCAAGCAGCCTACTATAGTCTTAATAACTCCAAGTAGTTGAAGACATGCCACAACCTGTCAACATCCCAAAAGGGAGAACCTTAGTTCTTTGATTCAGGCTGACTAGAAGCCAGACTCTCAAGCA